TATTCCAGGGTTGGTTGGTTGGTTTCCTTTTTTTTCGCTTTTAGTAACCCAGCACCCCAGGCGGGGCCGGGAATGCCCAGTGGTATCAAAAGAGTTTCAAGTTTCGGGGAGCGGGGCCGGGGGTGGGGGCACGCAACTTCCCGGTCTTTGATTGGGGCAGGAGGGGGGTGAGGGGAGAAACGGAGACATCTCGGTCAACTGGGTACTGAGAAAACTGCCAAAATAAAAGCCAACGTCAAAGGGTAAACCAGAGAGAGGTGGAAATCTCAGGGCAGGGGAGGGACAGACAGGTAGGGAGGGGGACAGGAATGGGGCAGGGAGGGACACAGAGGCAGTTGGGGTGGGAGCCAGGAATTGGGGGACCCTCCAGCGGGTGGGGACATGGCGTCCAACGGGAGCCGATCCGTCGCGGGCGGGTTAGGGGGGTCTCTCTCCCCGGAGGCATTTCCCCGCTCCCGCTCCCGTGGCGGGCCGCTGGGGGGCGGGCGGGCGGGTGGGCCGCATGGTCGGGGCGGGCGGAGGGGGGAAGGCAGGCCGCGAGGGGCGTCCCCGTCCTCAGATCTGCGTCTCCTGCACGTTCTCCTTTGAGCTGCTCTTGAACAGCAGAGGTTCGTGGATAGAGTTCAGTAGCGGGTTCTTGGCGCAGGCCAGGGCCCCCGCGTTGTTGTTGTAGTGGGCCTTGAAGGCCGCGTAGTGGTTGAGGTGGTCGTGCTCCAGGGCCGGCAGGGCCAGGTGGCTGTCGCCGGGGGCGCCGGCCGCGGCCGGCAGCTCGTCCTCCACGTTGATGATCTCGATGGTGCGGGTGGGGCCGTGGTGCTTGTGGAACTGGTGCTGCTTGCGCAGCTTGTAGAAGACGATCAGCATGACGGCCGCCATGAAGGTGATGGCCACGAAGCAGCCAATGATGATCTTGGTGGTCTTCATCACGTCGTCCAGGTCCTTCATGCCGCCCTCGGCCGCGTCGGTGATGGGCACGGTGTAGGGCTTCTCCGTGGAGCGGGTGGAGCGGGGCGTCAAGGAGGTGGTGGAGTAGGTCACGTCCCAGCCCACAGCAGGCGTGGGGCCCGGCTCCTTCTTGGTGGGCAGCGCGTCCTCCTGGGCCGTCTCCAGCGTCTCCACGGTGACGGTGGTGAAGTAGGTGTAGCCGGTGGCGGCCGGGTCTACGGCCGAGACGTTGAGGGTGGCCGACGCCGTGGTGTTGCCGGCCGAGTTGGTCACCATGCAGGTGTACTGCCCCGTGTCCTGCACCGTCACGTTGGTGAAGTTGAGCGTGCCATCGTGCAAGACGGAAATCCGCACCCGGTACGAGCCATGCGTCATCAGCGTCCCGTTGGGCGTCAGCCAGTTGACCGAGGTCATGGAGGTGCCCGTCCGGCACTTCAGCTCCGCCGCCATCCCCTCCGTCACGTTGAGGTCGGTGGGCGGCTCGACGATGACCGGCGCGTAGCAGGTGAAGTGGCTCTGGTCCAGCTCGCCGATGTAACGCCCCTTGAGGTTGGCCGGGGCGTGGCAGCGGGCGCAGCAGGTGGTGTTGTTGGGCACCGTCTCCTTCAGCCACCAGCTGAGCCAGAGGACGTCACAGTTGCAATGCCAGGGGTTGTGGTTGAGGTGCACCCGCTCCAGCCGGTGCAAGGGAGTGAAGAGGTCGTGGGGCAGCGACATGAGGTTGTTGTGGGACAGGTTCAGCTCCTCCAGCGACTTGAGGTCGTCGAAGGCGTTGCGCTCGATGGTGGACACCTGGGCGTGCATCAGCCACAGCTTGCGCAGGCTGGTGAGGCCCTGGAAGGAGCCGGGGCGGATCATGTCCAGCCGGTTGCCCGACAGCTCCAGCTCCTCCAGCCGCACCAGCGCCGTCAGGTTGGGGATGTCCTTGAGGTTGCACATGCCCAGGTTCAGGTACCGCAGGTTCACCAGCCCTTCGAAGGCCGCCTCGGAGATATACTCCAGTTTCTTGAGCTCGCCCAGGTCCAGGCGGCGCAGGGAGGGCACCCGGTTGAAGGCGTAGGACGGGATGCTCTCGATGGGGTTGTTCCGCAGCCAGAGCTCCCGCAGCTTGGAGAGGTACTCGAAGGCCTGGGTGGGCACCGTGGCCAGGCGGTTGTCGAAGAGCTCCAGCGTGTTGAGGTTGGGCAGGCCGTTGAAGGCGCCCACCTCGATCTTGCGGATCAGGTTCTTGCTCAGCTGCAGGATCTCCAGGTGCCGCAGGTGCTTGAAGGTGTCGGTCTTGATGAGCTGGATGTTGTTCTCCTGCAGGTTGAGGTACCGCGTGTTGATGGAGATGCTCTCCGGCACCTCCACCAGCTCCCGGCGCGTGCAGATCACCCGGCTGGCCTGGTTGCTGCAGGAGCAGGCGGCCGGGCAGGAAGTGGGCGAAGCTCCGGCCCACGCCAGCGAGGGCAACCAAAGCCCCAGCAGCAGGACCGACTTCCAGGGCATCCTAGAGGGACGGGGAGGTGGCGGCCCCCTCCGGGAGCAGCAACGGGGGGCAGCCATGTCCAACGTTCATGCTTTAATGGGCAAAACCTCCTCTGGGCAGGCTGTCAAATACCTAGAGCCTGGAGACACAACGGAAGAGAGAGACTCGTTAGCGTCAGCCCTGCACCTCAGGGCCCGACCCCAGGAGGAGAGAGACCAGGGAGCATGGTCCCTAGGCTACAAGGCCCA